GGACGAGCTATGGCGACAAGCGGTGCTGGGGCAACAGGACATCAAGGCAAAGAAGTGAACTCTGGCCCAAACCGCACACGATCCAAAGACTAATTCAATATGGATCACAAACTTAAGTGTGAAAAGTAAAACTGTAAGGCTTTCAGAAAAAAAGAAAATGAAAAAGCTTCTGGATCTGGGGCTGGGAGAAGCGTTCCTACATCTGACACCAAGAGCACCGGCCATAAGAGGAAAAACTGTAAATTGCACCTAATCTATACTAGAGACTTCCCTGTGAGAGATCCTGTGGGGATGAAAAGACGAAAGAAAAGCGTGTGAGAGCTGTGTACCCACGAAGGCCTAGGAAACAGCAAGGAATCTCGAAGCTACAGTAAAACATGGCAACAACCGATCATGAAGTGAGCCAAAGCCGGGATCCCATGTTTCGCAGGAGAGGGTGCAGAGGCCGGAGAGGAGCCCCTGCAAGGCGGCGGGTGGCTGTCGGACGGAAGAGCACGTGTGGAAAACAGGCCACAGAAGGCAGACAGAGCTGCTGGAGGGTGCACATCATTAGAGCACGACACTGCCAGTCTTTGAAAGGGGCGTTTTGGTTTTAAGAGGCCACCCTTAGGTGGTCTTAGGGTGAACTACTTCTCTTACCTAACGGGGAGCACCTGGTCCATGAAGCAGGGCTGAGGGAGCATCCAGCCTCTGGGCTCCTATTTTAGCAACAGGTGCTGGGAGGCGGATCTGCTGAAACTGAGCGACAGTCACTTAGTTTCTTCTGCGAGGTGAGCTGAGACTCCTCAGAGGAGGGTAACACGAAGAACGATGGGGGAAGACGTGGGAGGCCGAGTGCACCACACGGAGCGAGAGCGAACATTTCCGAGGCTTTGCAGAGGGGCAGGCCGCTCTCCCGATAAACAGTCATCAGATTTTATGGTAAAAATGGGCAAATAATGGGTGTCGTCTGGCACAGGCTGCAAGACACTGACTGTTCAGTCCAATGACCCAGTTTCCGAAGTGCACACAGCACCCGTGGGCGCGACCGAGGGCCCCACCCGGTCTGTCCGCAGTCAGCCCGGGCCCTGCATGTGCATCACAGGCTCTTGCGGGATCGGGGCTCAGACATACGGACTCGCACATGCAGCAGCTTCGTTCCTCTCAGTGGGTGTGACAGAACCATCCTAGTGGCCCCATGCAGACTATAAAGCCACGTAGAAGAGATCACAGCTTTAAAACACCACGGACGCCCGCTGACGGCTCTGTTCTTTCTAATTTCCTGTTTGAGAAGGGGGAACTGTCAGCAAAATTATGTTTGCGGCCTTTGGGGAACAGAAATTTATGTTTAGCAATAGCTCAGGGTCGCAGTGGGGCAGCAGCCTGGGATCAGCATGGCTCCTGCCAGTCACATGGAGCACTAAGTCCCCAAACTTCCTCTGGGGATGGGGTATTTGTCATAAAGGCTTGAAGTGTAAGTTTGGTGACATTGGAGGCGAAAGAGCCACCACCGTCGCTGGAGACAAGTGTGTTGTGCTCAGGATCCGCAGGTATTCTCATGTGCTTGGGTGCAGGGAAATCCCAAGTTCTGTGGTGCCATATGCACACAATTTATAGGCCGATTTTATTTTTATTTATTTATTTATTTTAATCCGCACCCAAGGATACTTTTTCCATTGCTTTTCAGAGAGAGTGGAAGGGAGAGAGAGAGAGAAACATGGATATGAGAGAGACACATTGATTGGTTGCCTCCCGCATATGCCCCAGCAAGGGCTGGGGATCGAGCCTGCAACCCAGGTACCTGCCCTTGGCTGGAATCGAACCCGGGACCCTTCAGTCTACGGGCTGATGCTCTAACCACTGAGCAAACCGTCCAGGGCCTTTTTATCTTTTTGTATGAGCTTTTCATATATTATATAAGCGCAAACATTTTCTTTGTTTATTGTGTCCCTGCCTATGTTGTTTTTAACACAGAGAAGTTTTTATTTTGATTTAGTCGAATTACCCACGTCCTGTCTTCCAGCTTAGAAAGTCCTCCACATATTTGATAAAGATTCACTTCAGTCTTCTCATAATTGTTGAAAGCTGATTTTGTTTTAAATTTCATTCATCTGATATCTGTTTGGCTCCTTGGTCTGCAGCGAGGATCTAAATACACGTCCTTGCACAGCGGAAGCGTGCTGGGCCCATAAATACACGTCCTTTCCCCCAGCAGCTCAGCACCTAACACAATTCTTTGAACCATCTTTGATATTCTTGTGATTTTTGATGTCACATTTCCCTTTCCTGTATTATTTTTCGTCTATCAATCAAATTCCTATTTCAAACAAGGCTAATTAATCTGCCGCACGCATCCAAGTCCAAGTGCGCACAACAGCACATACTTCTTCATTCACAGATTTACTCCAGGGCTCCCCCCTCCTTTCAGGCCCGGTCAGGATGGGAAAGCGTGGGGTGGGGTGTCGGTAAAGACGGGTGGGGTGGGGAGGAGGAGAGAAGAAAATGAGGCTTTGGTAATTTATTTTCCATAACAGGAATCCACTGAGTGCACACAACTCAATTTATTTTCTAATCGTTTCCTTCCATCCCTTAGTTACTCTTTTCCTTTGATCTCCTCTCAGCTTTGCGATTATTCCAGTCATGTTGGCAGCCGCGTTACTTCGAGGGGCGGGCACCAGGGGGCAGTGTAGGCACGTTTGTGGTGCAAACGCCATGCTGCTCAGAGGCTCCAGCTTTGCCGGGAGAGAGGCAGCTGCTCCGGTTAACTACCTGAATCCAGCTGGGTTCAGCTGCCACCGCGGGGAGCCAGTGCTGGGCAGGCCGTGTATGGGGTCAGGGAGACCGTACAACCAAGGACAGCCTTGTTTCCGTTTCACACCATGAACCTGTCCAGCCATGCATTTATTCATTCGTACTTTTCAACAGAGTAGTGATGGTGCTATAGCTGAGTGTTGGGATTATGAGTGGTTTCTACTTTTGTTCTGTGCAATTTTTCAAATTTCCCACAGTGGACATATGCAAAATATGTAATGAGAGGGAATAAATGCTTTAGGATGAACATTTCTTATTATTTCTCATGGTCAGAATTTACTGCAAATCATTAATGGAACTGAGCTTACCACAGGGACAGACGGGGGGTGGGGTGGGGAGGGAAAATCCATGAGGCTGCGTTTTCCTATGTTACTACCTGGGATGCTGAACATTCAGCTGTCCATTGATGGAACCAGGGAGAGGCAGAGAGAAATGTCAGTCCCGGAAACCAGGCCTTTGAGGCTGCCTGGGTGGGGAGTTCTGCCCCATGGAGCTCCTCTCCTTGAGAGCCTGCAGCGTGCCCCCCCCCCCCC